AGCTCATAATATCCTCTAATGATGTTTCGTATTTCTATTGTGTCTGTTGTAATACTGCCTGTTTCATTGCAATTTTGATTTATCCGGTTCCTTTCTCCTTCTTAATCAGTCTAGCTAATGGTGTGTCAATCGTGTTTATCTTTACAAAGAACCAGCTTTTGCTTTCATTTATTTTCTGTATAGTTCATTTATTTTTGCTAGAATCACTGTTACTTCTTTTCTCCTGGCGTTTTTGGTTGTTTTTCCAGTTCCCTGAGGCATGATGCTAGGTTGACTATTTGCCACCTTTCCATCTTTTTCTTACGCGCACTAATTGTTATGGATTCCCCGCTTAGGACAGTTTGTGTGGTGTCCCATAGACTGTGGGAATCCATGTACTCATTATCACTTGTTTCCATAAACCCTTTTATTTTAGTCTGAATTTCTTCAGTAGTTGAGGAATCATTCAGAAGTAGGTTGTTTAGTTTCCATGTATTTGGGTAGTTTTGAGGATTTTTCCTGAAGTTAGTATCAAGTTTAATTCCATCATGGTCAGAGAAGATGCTGGATATGGTTTTGATGCCTTTGAATCTGTAAAGGCTTGATCTGTGTCCTATCATATGGTCAATCTTTGAAAAGGTTCCATGCCAGGGTGAGAAAAACGTGTATTTTGTGAGTTTACGGTGGAAAGTTCTAGAGATGCCTGCCAAGTCCATTTGATTTATGGCATCTATTAGATTCTGGATCTCATTGCTTATTCTTTGTCTAGAAGATCTGTCCGACAGAGATAATGGGGTGGTGAGATCCTCAATGATTTTAGTGTTGCAATCTACTCTCTCTCTTTTTAGCTCTAGCAGTCTTTCTTTCACATATTTAGGAGCTCCTGAGTTCGGTACATAGATATTTAAAAATGTTAAGTCTTCTTGATGAATCAGCCCTTCTACTTTGTCTTTTCTAATAGTTTTTTTTTTTTTTTTTTTTTTTTTTTTTGAGAGGAGCAAAATTACAGGGAATGTGCACTCACCAGAAGACAGAGAGAGACCAGGAGATAGAATGCAAGAAATCACCCCACAGGGGTTATGGACACACCACAATCATTTCTTCTCCATTCTCCTCTTGGGATCTTGGTCACAAATGAACATGTGCCTGGTGTGAGTTTTAAGTTGCCATGTCCAGGACTCAAACTGCAGTCGACTACATGGGAGTCCAGTGACATAACCATTATGCCATCTGCTGGCCTCACTTCTTACAGTTTTTGTCTTCAAGCCTATATTGTTTAAAATTAGTATTGCGACTCTAGCCCTTTTTGATTTCCATGTGCATGGAATACCTTTCTCCAGCCCTTCATTTTCAGTCTACGTATGTCTTTATCCATGAGGTACGTTTCTTGTAGTCAACAGATGGAGGGACTCTGGTTTTGTTTTTGGTTTTGGTTTTGGGTTTGGTTTTGGTTTTGTTTTTTTTTTTTTTTTTAGTTGAATGGCTAGTCTGTGTCTCTTGATCAGAGAATTTAATCCATTAACCTTCAGCATTATTCTCAACATTTCTGGACATGTTCCTATCATTAAGTAAGCCATTTTCTTGGTTGTCTTTTCTTCTCTTTTTTCTGTCTGTCTGACTTTAGTTTTCCTGGTATAGTACTCCCTTCAGAACTTCCTAAAGAGCTGGTCTGGAGTTGGTCAATTCTTTCAGGTTTTGTTTATCTGAGAATGTTTTTATTTTTTCTTCTCATATGAAGGATAATCTTGCCAGGCACAGTAATCTTGATTGAAACTGCCTTTCATTTAACACTTTGAATTTATTTCCCCATTCTTTCCTTGCCTGCATTGTTTCCGACGAGAGGTTTGATGTTAGTCTGATGGGATAACCTCCGTAAGTAACTTGACATTTCTCTTGCCAATTTTAGTATCTTGTCTTTGAATTTGGTTTGGGCCAATCTAGCTATGATATGCTTTTGGCAAGACCTTCTTGGGTGGATTCTAGTTGTGGTACTTTGTATTTCTTTGGTCTGGATATTTGAATGCCTTACTCTAGATTTAGAAAGTTTTCTTCCAAGATTTCATGGATTAGGTTATCATTATTTTCTTCGCCTTCTGGGATACCAATTATCCAGATGTTTGGGTGCTTAATCTAGTATTTCTCGTATATTGTCTTCAATCTTCCTGGTTATTTTCTCAGTCCTTTTGATAAATTTTCCTAGGTCAGAAGTTTTGTCTTCTACATCTGAGATCTGATCTTCTACATGATCTACTCTGCTTTTAATATTTTTTTTTGAGAGGTTTTTCACTATAGGGCGTGTGTGCTCACCAGACAGACAGAGAGAGACATAGAGACAGAAAGCGAGAAATCACCTCCCCGGGGGGATGGTCACGCCGCAATCCCTTCTCCTCCATTCTCCTCTCAGGATCTTGGGCACGCACACACACGCGCCCGGCGTGAGTTTTAAGCCACCGGGTCCAGGACGTGAACCGCGGTCGACTACGTGGGAGTCCAGCGACATAGCCATTATGCTAACTGCTGGTTCCCTGCTTTTAATATTTTTGAGGGAGGTTTTGATTTCCGGTATTACAGTCTTCATCTCTTAACAATTTCATCTGATTATTTTTAATGGTGTCTACTTCTTCTTTCAAATAGTAAAAGGACTTCCTCATCTCCTGGAGCTCACTGTCTCTTTTCTCTTACATCTTCTGGAGTCTGTTGTCTCTTTTCTCTTGCATCTTATTTAGTTTTGTCACCATAAACATTCTGAATTGTTTATCTGACATTTCCATGAGTTCCACAGAATTGTCTATGGATGATGAAGAATTGATGTTTTCCCTTGCGGGAGAGATATTTTCTTGGTTTCTCGTATTTCTTGTGCCTCTACGACGCTTTCTAGTTATCAGGTGAATTATCCATTTCTTCCTAAATTCTTTCAATTAATTCTGAGAGTTCAAAGGTGAGCAGGAGGTGATAGGTGATCTCTCTGCTATTCTATTTCCTTGATACTCACCCAGCAATGTGCAGTGCTGTTTCTGGACTTGGATAATTCAAAGTTCTCCCAGTTTCTTTTTGCTTTATTTATTTTTTATTCTTTAGAACTATTTAACTCCATTAGCCATTATTATTTTTTAATTTGACAAGGAGAGACAGAGAGAGAGAGAAAGGGAAAGGAAGAAAGCAAGTTACTAGATCCAGGACTCGAACCACAGCTGGCTATGTAGGAATCCAGTGCCCTTTTACCACCACGCTGCCTGCCAGCCCCAAAGTCCTCCCAGTTTCTAGAGAACAGGTGTACCTGAGGCTGAGCTGCTGAGCTTCAATTAAGGAAGAAGAAAGGGGTCTGTGTCGCACACTTCAGGTAACACTGAAGTCTGAGGATTCAGAGGCATGTGGCAGGGGTTGAGCGACCATCTCTCCGTAGCTCAATGTCTCTGCTGCTCAGTGTAGCCAGGGCTATCACTTGGGCAGATGTCCAGATGGCGTAGGGAACAGGGAAAGATAGGCTTCTCTAAGTCCCAATTAACACACCTGAGAGTTTAAAGGTGTGTGGGGGAGGGGATGAGCCATGCTTTGCAGAACTCTCTCCCAGCCACAAACAGCTCTCCACGCAGCAAGGCTGAGGTGGATGTTCTGATGGCACAGGGAGCAGGGAAGAAGGGCTTCTCCAAGTCCCAGCTGCAAATGGCTCTCCGTCCTATTTTTTGCTTTTTAATGAAGCTACAAAAAAAGGTCAAGGTCTGGCTTGCAGTTTTTGTTAGACAGTGGTATTCTAAAAGCAGTGATGGATTTCTTCACAAGGAGCAGAAAGCAAAGGTGAGGAGGTCCAAGGAAAACCCCAGCTGACCACAAGGTTCAAGCAGGCAGCACTAGGCAGTCTGCCTACTGCAGCGCACAACCTGCAGCCCAGCCTGCAGCCCCTTCCCACTAAACTGAGGCCCTCCCCTTCCCACCCAGAGCCCTGGTGTCCCACAGGCCCCAAGAGCTCCTGCTGAGAGTTGACAGAAAAGGAAACAGGTCTCTTGGGATCAGCAGTTGACGTAATGGGTATGTCACTGAACTTCCATGTAGTCGACCACGGTTCGAGTCCCAGACCCGGTGGCTTAAACTCACATCGGGTGCTTGTGCATGCATGCTCAAGATCCCAAGAGGAGAATGGAGGAGAACGGATTGCAGCGTGGCCATCCCACCCTGGGGGGTGATTTCTCACTTTCTGTCTCTCTTTCTTTCTGTCTTTTTGGTAAGTGCTGCACCCTATTGCAAACACCTCTCAAGAAAAAAAAAAAAGAAAGAAAGAAAGAAAAGGAAACAGATCTCCATGCCTGGCCACTGTATCCAGCTGTTCCTGTGAAAGCTGCATCTGTAAAACGGGCACGGTCATGCCAATCCTTATGTTTGTTCAGACTCAGAAGAGATCACACATCAAAACGTGCTTGGTGAACTGCCAAGGCCAAGGGGTGATTTGGTGACTGTGTCCATAAAGCAAGGCTTTGGCCCTTGCAACAACCCAGTCATAGTTCAGATCTACAAGGTAGCTGAGCAAGAGTCTGACAGCTGAGAGCCTAGGATTTTTGTTTTGTTTTTCATATTTTGGTAAATGTATTTTTTGGTTTTGTTCTCTGCATACATTCCAGAGAGAGGGAGAGAGAGAGAAACAACCTGCCAGTGGGTCGTGGTCACACCGCAATCCCTTCTCCATGTCAGGATTTGGAGCACACATGCACACACGCCCAGCACATTTTTTCAAGCCATCAGCCCTGGGATTCAAACCTCACAGTCGGCCATGTGGGATCCAGTTCCCTTAATCACCAGGCCCCAGGGCCAGCTCACATCTGTTTCTTACCAATTCCTCATTAGTAAGACAGAGTTTAAAGGCTTATCTCCGTCTCAAATCCTACTGAAGCCAGAGGAGTGAGACCCTTCTGGATTCCGATCCTGAGCCTGTGCTGGGCAGCTTGTCAGCACTCTCTGGCCTCTGGCTGCCCTGCCCAGCTTTAGTCCTGAGCCCTCTCTCGGTGACTCCTCCCTCCCGCTATGCTTACCTTGTAAGGCACTTCTCCGAGCCGCACCACCCTTGCTTGCTTCAGCCACGTGTCCTTGGAGTGCAGGGTGTGCACGCAGTCCCTGCAGGAGACGAAGGACAAGCTTAGTCCGCAGCCCTCCACAGGAAGGAGGACCACAGTGCCCTGAGCCTAGGAGAAAGGAGGGCACAGCTCTGCTGATTGTTCCAGGAGCAGACATTGCTCCTAGAAGACCCAGAGAACCGCACTAAGTAGAAAGCCTATGACCTGGACTGCCTGCCTTTCAGGGGGACACGTCCACTGCCAAACTCTAACTTGCATGGAATTATTCTGTCCCACAGTGAAGGGGTTCCCACTGCAGCCTTCAGGGGGACAAGTAAAAGCCACAGCCTACAGGCCAATTTACCGATTTACTCACCACCAGGTACTAACCACCACAGCAGGTAGGGACAAGGGTCCAGACAAGGGGTGGTGAACCCCCCCAAAAAAATATACAGAAACTGGGACCAGCAGATAGTGTAACGGTTATGTTGCTGCTGGACTCCCACATGGCCGATCACAGGTCAAGTCCCAGACCTGGAGGTTTGAAATTCACACCAGACAAGTGTGCATGTGTGCCCAAAACCCTGAGAGGAGACTGGAGAAGGCATTGCGGTGTGGCCATTGCCCCCACCAAGGGGGGGCGGTGATTTCTCACTGTCTGTCTCTCTGGCACGCACATGTCCCCTATAGCAAAAATCGCTCTTTTAAAAAAAAACAACAAAATAACTACACAGAAACTAATTAGAATGAACTAATAAACTTTTTTTTTTGGAGAGGTTTTTGCTATAGGGCACGTGCACTTTCTATAAAGACAGAGACAGACAGAGAGACAGAAAGCGAAAAATTACCCTCTGGGGGAAGTGGCCACGCCACAATCCCTTCTCCTCCATTCTCCTGTCGGGATCTTGGAGGCACACACATGCACCCGGCGTGAGTTTAAGCCACTAGGTCTGAGACTCGAACCGTGGTCGACTACATGGGAACCCAGCGACATAGCCATCATGCCAAATGCCAGTCCCAAGAATGAGCTAATAAACTACCGTGCAGTCAGGACACATGTTCATAGGGCAGTCCGAGGGTTTCTGACAACCTGTGATCATGGGCCAAGATTCTCTGGCTTCACTCCTTCTAGCATGGCCTCGAGATTCTACTTTCCAGCAAAGCTCAAGCCCTGCCCTAATCAAGCATTCTTTAACAGGGCACATCCGTCTCTTCCTTGGCTTGCACCCCTGAACTCTGCCCAGACAGAGGGGCTCCAAGAAGCCAGGGCACACAGCTCCTTCTAGTGCAGCCCTCAGGCCCTCGCCTCCCGGGCAGCCAGAGGCTGAATTTCAGCACAGTGGACAGGGATCGAGTCCTGTCCGAGCCCCCTCTCAGCTGGGTAACCTGGACAGGTCACTGTACCTCCTAGGCCTCAGTCTCCTCACTCATCCGTCAGTGATAATGACCTGTGCCCTTTCCACCTCACGCGGTTGGCGGGAGGATCAGACACCTGCCAAGTGCCGGAGCTGCACTTCTCTGTCAGACATGGCTCTGTTAGCCAAGAGCTCCACCCCACTGGAGGCTGCACGTCTTTGTTGCCAAAAGGAGTAATTGCGTCATGGTCCTTGGAGAGGGGCAGAAAAGGCCAGGGGCAGAGGAGCTGCCAGGCAAGCGTCATCCGGGCATTCCAAAGGAAAAGAGCGGGGCGGTGCACACAGGCCTCAGAATAAAGGTCAGCCTCTAACCACTTCACACCCACCGGAATTTGACTGTTACTAACCCGGGAAGTAACAAGTGCTGGTGGAGAGGCAGAGACGCTGTACCCCCCGGGCCTTGCTGACGGGGAACGGAAAATGTTTCCACTGCTAATGAAACAGCACGGCAGTTTGTCAAAGAATGGGGCCTTGCTGATGGGGAACGTAAAATGTTTCCACTGCCAATGAAACAGCACGGCAGTTTGTCAAAGAATGAAACGCAGAACTATCAAGGAATTCTGCAATCTCACCTGTGCTTATACACCCAAAAGGACTGAAAGCAGGATCTTGAAGATAAATACATAGGTACACCTAAGTTTAAACCAGCATTACCAGGGCCAGCAGGTGGTTATAGGTGTTGGGACTTCCACATGGCTGACCACAGTTCAAGTCCTGGACCTGGCACCTTGAAAAATGACACCGTGAGCATGTGTGTGCATGCCCGAAATCCCAAGGGAAGGGACTGCGGTGTGACCACTGCTCCCAAGGGGTGACTTCTGTCTCCCTCTCACTGTCTCTCTCTCTCTGGTGAGCACATGCCCTATGGCAAAACCCTTAAAAAAGAAACAGAAACAAAACAAAGAAAAACCCAGCATTACTCATTATTCTCAACGCCCAGCGATTATCAGCAAATGAATGGTAAGTCAAATGCAGTGTGTCCATAAACGCAACATCACTCAGCCTCAGCAGGGAGGGAACTCTGACACCTGCTACGACATGGATGGACTTTGAAGACGTCATGCTAAAGAAAAGCCAGTCAAGGGACTACAAATACCGAATGATTGCACTCACGAGGGACACCTACTTGGTCAGATTCAGAGAGACAGAGAGCAGAAGGCTGGCAGAGGAGGTAATAGGGAGCTGCTGTCTAACAGGCGGAGATTCAGTTTGGGAAGATGGAAAGAGTTCTGGAGACTGGGGTGGTGACGGCCACACAACATGAATATCCTCAATGGCACTGAGCTCTGCCTTTAAAAACGGCTACCACAGGGACCAGCAGTTAGCATAATGGCTATGTCGCTGGACTCCCATGGAGCCGACTGCAGTTTGAGTCCTGGTGGCTTAAACTCACGCCGGGCGCGTGTGCGTGCGTGCCCAAGATCCCGAGAGGAGAATGGAGGAGAAGGGATTGCGGTGTGGCCATCCCTCCTGGGGGGTGATTTCTCACTTTCTGTCTCTCTGTCTTTCTGGAGACCTCACGAACCCTATAGCAAACCCCCCCCCCAAAATGGCTACCACAGTCAACCTCACGTCTCAGCACATGAATAAGTAAACGTGCAGCTCTAAGGCTTTCTTCTATCACTGCCATAGTCCCTCAGACCACGCCAGCTCTCTTTTCCCCAAACTTCCTCTCCCCCGACTGCTGTGTGCTCGCACTTGAGGAAGGCTCTACCTGGGCCAGGCCCTTGCTGCCCGACTGTTGGGTGCTCGGGTCCCAGGGCAGCCAAGCCCCTGCCCCTGACCAGGGCAGGATGCGCCCTGACACGGAAGACAAGCTCTCAGAGGATCTGCACAACGAGCATATAGGCAGGAAGTCGTCCCCTCAGGGGACTCAAACCACCTCCTCTCATGCGGGTTTCCCCTTCATTTCCTTTGCTTTTTTTCTTCTTTTTTTAGGTTTTTGTCATAGGGGATGTGTGCTCACCAGAGAGAGACGGTGAGAGGGAAAGTGAGAAATCACCCCCTCAGAGTAGATGGCCACACCACAATCCCTTCTCTATAATCTTCTCAGGACTTTGGGCATGTACGCACATGCACTCGAGTGTGATTTGCAAGCCACTGGGCCCAGGACTTGAACCGCGGCTGAGCACTTGGGAATCCAGCCACCTTCACCACCATGCCACTTGCTGGCTCCTCATTTAAACTTTCATGATCAAATCCTTGATTCTTTTCCTCTGTATGTTTTAAACTTATACTTGGATATGCTTATTGTCCCACTTTTTTTTTTTTCTTTTGGAGAGGTTTTTGCTATAGGGCGCGTGCACTCGCCAGAAAGAGACAGAGAGACAGAAAGCCAGAAATCACCCCCCAGGGAGAATGGCCACGCCACAATCCCTTCTCCTCCATTCTCCTCTTGGGATCTTGGGCACGCATGCACACGCGCCTGGTGTGAGTTTAAGCCACCGGGTCCGGGACTCAAACCGTGGTCAGCTACATGGGAGTCCAGCGACACAGCCATTACGCTAACGGCTGGTCCCTGCCCACTTTCAATCTTATTTGTCCTATGTCTAACTTTATTTCCCTCCACAACCTTTTTCTCTGCTCATCTTTTATTCTTTAATTCTCAAGGTTTCATCCCTTCTACACACACACACACACACACACACACACACACACACACACAGAGCAGCTCATGCTGAGAATGCGGTTAAGCAAAAAGATGAGTTGACATCACCAGCCCTTTGTCCAGGAAGAAGGTTCCTAACCCCAGATCATCAGGAAACCCAAGAGGCTGCCCGGGCCACGTCGCGCACCTAGAGTAGACAGCTTCTCCACGACAGTATCCCAGGATCGCGGCCGTCTCGGGGTAGATGGCCTCGTACTTCAGGAGATGCCGCTTCAGGGCGTACAGAGGGTGGTTCTTGTACAAGCCGATGGCAGTGGGCAAAGGCTGGTCCAGGTGCTTCGCCTGAAACTGCAAGGGCCAGACAAGCAGTGGTGAGCGCGCTGCTCAGAGGAGGGCTGACAGCTCGGGTAAAGGGCCCTTGGGCTGGATTTTTTCTTTTTCTTTCTTTTTTTTTTTTTGAGAGGTTTTTGCTATAGGGCGCATGTGCTCGCCAGAAAGACAGAGAGACAGAGATACAGAAAGTGAGAAATCAACCCCGGTGGGGATGGTCACGCCATCCCTTCTCCTCTTGGGATCTTGGGCGCACACGCACACGCACCCGGCGTGAGTTTAAGCCACTGGGTCCAGGATGCGAACCACGGTCGACTACGTGGGAGTCCAGCAACATAGCCATTACACTAACTGCTGGTCTCTTTTTCTTTTTTTTTTTTATGAGAGATTTTTGCTAGAGCGCATGCACCCACCAGAGAGACAGAAAGATGGAAAGTGAGAAATTACCCCCTGGGTAGACAGTCATGCTACAATTCCTCCTCCTCCATTCTCCTCTTGGGATTTTGGGCACGCACACACATGCGCCCAGCATGAGTTTTAAGCCACCAGATCTGGGACTTGAACCACAATCAACTACATGGAGCCCAGCATTGTAACCATTACACCATCTGCTGGTCCCAGGACTAACTTGTTTTGACAACAGATGCTATGGCTCGGTTCCATGACCATGGATGACTTCATATGCAGACTTTAGATGAACTGAAACCTACTAAGCACCGAATAATTCTGTGGCCTGTGGCAACTCCGAAAAGTCATCTAACCTATCCTTAGATACCCTTCCAGTCCTTAGATACGTTAGCCAATCCCAACAGGATCGGGCCTGCTGTGCTTGAGCCCTCTTCCTGTGTCAGGCTTGGCTCTGGAACTGAGGACAGGGCTGAGTTGGTTGAGGAGCGCCTGCTTCTCAACAGCCTGGAGTGTGTCCTCATTCCAAGTCCCTCCTCCCAGGACTCAAGCGTTCTGCGTGTGTGCGGCACGTCTGTATCACGCGGCACGTCTGTATCACGCCCATGCGTGCAAAAGGGGATGTGATGTATTGATGAGAGAGTGTTTCACTGGGCCTCATTTACATGATTTGCAGCAATTACTTTAAAGCTCCAAATGTGTAGTACGTGGCATGAAAGCCACGGAGACCTGTGTTCAAACACCAAGTCACAGCTCTGCAACGTTCTAGCAACAAACTCAAGGCACTGGTGACCCAACTTCGCAGTGCTGTTGTGATAACTAAACGAGCTGACTTACTAAAAACACCCACTAGGGGGCTGTCTACGTAAGAGGTGCTCAAAGGCAGGGGACTGTACACCTGGATTGAGCCTCCAGCTCCCGGCAGGCGGGTCCTCACCTCCAAGTCTTCCTTCTTCTCTCTCTCCACAAACGGGCTCTGGTACGGCCTCAGGGTTTCGGCCCACCATTCGGCATCGACCCGGCACTTGCGGGTGGCTGTCATCCAGGCCGGGTCGTACCTCTGTGTGACATCTCGGACCCAGCCGTCGCTGTCGATCCCTACCACGTAGGTCACGGGCTTGGTGGCGTACCTGTAGCAGGTCAGAGGCTGGCCCAGCACCCCATGCACACAGTCTACACACAGCCACTTCTCGTCCCGCTCGCAGAACACCTCCAGCCACTGGTCCACGCCGGCGGCCTTCTTGCTTTCTGCCTCCTCGCTGTCTTTGGAAGTTTTCTTGCCTTTCTTGCTGCTTGAAGAGCTGGGGCACGCTGCTGGGGAGCCTGGGGGCTTCCGGCGGCCTCCACCGGGGGTCTTGGGGTCACTCTTGGCTCCAGCCTTTGTTCTCTGAGAAGCGGGAGCTTTCCTCCGCCGTGAGAGGCTGGGTTCAGAATCTTCATCAGAGGGCGGGTGGGCTTCCCCGCTGGAGGGCTCGAAGTCCGAGCTGCTGCCGGCCTCGTCACTCCCACTCTCCTCCTTGTAAGATACCCTGGGCGCCAACCGCCGGCCACGGGCACGCGGGCGCCTCAGGGCTTCCTCCTCCTGCCTGCCCTGCTGGCCCTCATCCTCCTCCGAACTCGAGGAAGGCCCGCTCCGTTTCTTCCTCCCCGCTGCGGCCTTGCTCCTCTTCCCTCGGGCAGCTGGCTCGCCAGTGCCCTCCGAAGACGCTTTCTCTTCCTTGGTTCCTTTACTGATCTTCGCTTTGCTGTGACTTTCTGAAACTTGGCTGGAAGTTTCTGGAGAGCCTCCAGGGTCTTCCGTGGCTCTTTTATTGGAAGCTTTCTTTCCCTGAAACAAAGAAATGTTGATATTGTTTTTCTTTTATTTTTTCTTTTTAAGAGATTTTTGCTATAGGCGTGCACACTCGCCAAGAGACAGACAAAGAGACAGAAAGTGAGAAATCACGCCCCGGGAGGGTGGTCACGCCCCAACGCCTTCTCCTCCACTCTCCTTTCAGGAATTTGGGTACACACACGCACCTGGCATGAGTTTCAAGCTGCTGTGTCTGGGGACTGGAACCACAGAGTCGACCATGCAGGAGTCTAGCACCTTAGCTACTATACTACCTGCTGGCCCCGTTGTTTTTCTTTGTTACTAGAAAGCTAGAGATCCTGCAACCTATCAGGAGAGAACAGCATGCCAAAGTCTCCAGTGCCCAGGCACCGGTTAATCGGCTGTCCATCACGGCTATGACGTGTGGGCTAAAGCCTGTAGCACCGCAGAAAAGGCACAGGAGAAACTGTTTTCACTCAAGTTACAGAACAGAGGAAAGAGCATGGGATCTAAAAACAGACAAACTTGGGCTCAAATTCCAGTTCTGCTTTTGTTTTCACCATAGGGCACGTGTACTTGCCTCAGAAGACATAGAGAAAGTGAGAGATCACCCCTCCCGGGAGGATGTCCACACTGCAATCCCTTCTCCATTCTCTCAGGATTTTGGACATGCACGCACATGTGCCCGGTGTGTCTTTTAAGACGTCAAGTCTGAGACTCGAACCATGGAGCTGGCCATGTGGGACCCAGTGCCTTAACGTCCATACCCCTGCTAGCTCCAGTTCCGTCTCTTATTCATTGTGATGCAGGTAAATTAGTTTAACCCCTGAGCCAAAGTTTACTCAGCAATTAAGACTCACCTTGCACATGTGCACATCATAAACAAACATTTGGACTTAATATAGTTGTAGTCTTGGAACCAGCAGTTGGTGTAATGGCTATGTCGCTGGACTCCCACACAGTTGACCGTGGTTCGAATCCCGGACCCTCTGGCCTAAACTCACACCGGGTGCGTGTGCGTGTGTGCCCAAGATCCCAAGAGGAGACTGGAGGAGAAGGAACTGAGGCATGGCCATCTCCCCTGGGGGGTGATTTCTCGCTTTCCGTCTCTCTGTCTTTCTGTCAAGCGTTAGCACCCTACCGCAAAAACCTCTCTCAAAAAAAAAATTCAATTATAATCTTAAAAATATAGAAACCACCAAAATTAGGCTGCAGACAGCCACCACCTCAGTGAGGACAGCATCCCGTCTCTTGCTTTGGAACGTCTGAAAACGCATCATGTTCTTAACCCACAGCCGACCACGCTGTTCATGAAGACGAATGTCATTCCACACGCCTTGCAGGCCAGACGCGGAAGCACTGCACGGCCAGAGGGAGCCCACCCTGCCCGGTCCTCCCTACCACGGGGTGTGCGAGGCAGGCTCCTGAGAACCCACCTCCACGAAGGCCAGCGCTTAAAACAGAAGGAAGACTGATTTTTCTCATTCTGTCTGACCAACTCCCCCCTTCCTCTGGCAGTCCTAAGAGCCTGACCTTTGCTGTGGATGACTTCAAGGGAATGGGCTGTAGAGACAAGACCAGGCGGGTCAGGAGCTGCAGAGCCCGGAGAATCAGCAAAAATATCTGTGATGAAGAAGAAGACACGTTTATCTGACAGAAATCATGAAGGGCCTAGTTGGTTCAACGTTCTTTGTTTATGACAGGAAAAAGCTGGGAACGATCAAACTGTCAGGCCACAGGAGATCGGAACCCTCAACACCACTGAAAACAAGGTTTCAGAGATCTATTTATATAGAAAAATGGGAAAGTGTCCACCATATAATAAGGAAAAAAGTTTTTCTTAAAATAAATGTACACTGGGAACCAGCAGTTAGCGTAATGGCTATGTCGCTGGACTCCCACGTAGTCGACCGCGGTTCGCGTCCCGGACCCGGTGGCTTAGAACTCACGCTGGGCGCGTGTGCGTGCGTGCCCAAGATCCCAAAAGGAGAATGGAGGAGAAGGGATTGCAACGTGGCCATCCCTCCTGGGGGGTGAGTTCTCGTTTTTTGTCTCTCTGTCTCTGTCTCTGGCGAGCGCACGCGCCCTATAGCGAAAACCTCTCCAAAAAAAAAATGTATACTGTGGGGCCAGCAGGTGGCGTGGTGGCTACGGCGCTGGATCTCAAAGGGCCAGTTCTGCAGTTAAGCGTCCTGGACTCTGTGTGTTTTCCACGCTGGGCGTGTGTGTGCGCTCAAAATCCCAAGAGGAGAATAAAGGCGAAGGGACTGTGACACAGCCATCCTCCCCGGGGTGATCTCACTCTCTTTCTCTCTGGTGAGCATGCTCGCCCTATGGCAAACAACTTAAAAAAAAAAAAAAGAACAAAAAAAAACCCTTAAGTACTGTGATCACACTTTTGTAAGAAAAAAATATATAAATATAATATACATGTGTGTATATATTTATATATATTTAAAGAATTATTTAACTTCACTTATTTTAATTTGACCAGAGAGGGACAGAGTGAGAGAGAGAGAGAGAGAGGGAGAGAGAGAGAGAGAGAGAAAGAGAGAAAGCAAGCTGCCAGGTCCGGGACTCAAACAGTGGTCATCCGTGTAGGAGTCCAGTACCCTTAACCACCACGCACCTGCCAGCCTCCACACATGTATATTTTTAAAAGGATCCACATACTACTGGTTACCGGTGCTCACAGGATCTCTCTCCTGCTCATCTATCTCCTCAATGCTCTGTACTCTACAACTGTTGTGTTTGTAATTAAATAAATAAAACATCACTTTGGGAAGAAAACGTAGGACGTGCCGGTATCAACAGATCACCCAAGTGCGTGCCCTGCTTCCATTTTTCCAGCACCGAATTGTTCAACTGGAGGCTGAGACTCTAAACTGCTGCTGACTTGTGAGGACAGGAGCCTCCTGGGGGTAGGGAGCCTCCAAAACACAAGAGGGTTGCTGCTCTCGAGGAGTGTCTTCCCACACAGGTCTCCAGGCCCCAGGGCTTCTCATCCACTATTCGAACACCCTAATGACCACGTTTCCTGAGAAGCTATGTCATGCTGAGAAACATAACTACTCATATTTGGCCTGTTTCTTCTGGGGTTAAAAGCTCTAAAAGTGGGGACTGGCAGGTGGCATAGTGCTAAGGGGCACTGGACTCCCACATGGCCAACTGTGGTTTGAGTCCTGGCAGCTTGCTTTCTCACTTTCTCTCTCTCTCTCTGGTCAAATTAAAATAAATAAATAAATGAATAAATAAATGAATGAATAAGATTAAATAAAATCTTTTTTTTTTTTGGAGACTTTTTGCTATAGAGTACATACGCTCATCAGAAAGACAGAGAGACACAGAGAGACAGAAAGCGAGAGATCACCCCCCAGGGGAGATGGCCACGCCACAAACCCTCCTCTTCCATTCTCCTCTCGGGATCCTGGGCACACACACACACACACACCCCCACCGGGTCCGGGACTGAAACCGTGGTTGACTACATGGGAGTTCAGCGACATAGCCATTACATCATCTGCTGATCCCTAAATAAAATAATTCTTATAAAAAAAGAAAAAGCTTCAAAAGTGTTAGGCTGGCCCCACAGCTGAGTGGCTAAGGGAGCCAAATGGCTGATCACAGTTCAAATCCTAAGAGGAAGGAGAAATGGAGGATTGCGGCAGAGCCACACTCATGTATGAGGGGAGGAATTTCTCCCTCTCACCCTCTCTCTTTCTCTCTGGGAAGCAGATACACACTCTGGCAATGCAAAAAAGCAAAAACTTGCAGGGTCACGGTCAGGGAAGTCGAGAAACCGACACAGGTTGGAGGATAATAGACACGCGTCAACTAAATGCAATACATGGTCTCCTGCGTCGGCTCCTGAACAGGAAAAGGGCCTGGGTGGAAGCACGGAGAGCATCTCTGTGCTGTCAGGAGTTTACGTTAGAGTACTGCACCGGGACAAACCCCCTGGCCCACAGCACGGCACCGGAGCACAGGCCTGGAGTCTGGATGCCTGAGTATTCGCCACCACCTCGAAGACGTAAAGACACTTTTCTGCAAGGAAAAGTCCAGGGCCAGACGGCTTCATGGTGAATTCCATCAAACATGGAAAGGAAAATGAACGCCAGGTGGGCCCCGTAGTCTGTGGTTGACGGGACCGGATCCCACCTGGCTGACCACATGGTTCAAATCCTGGCTCTTGTGGCTTAAAAAAACATGTTGGGCACAACTTTGTGTGTTTCCCAAATCCTGACAGGATGGAGGAATGAAGGACAAGGCTATTGTTTACAGCTAACTGACTTCTGATAAAGGGCCCAAGACTATTCAAGGCCCAATTAAAAAAAACAAAAAGTTCCTTCAACAAATAGTGAAAATAAAACAACACAACAAATAGCTGAAAGAATAGTCTTTTTAAAAAATTATTTATTTATTTGCTATTATTATTTTAATTTGACCAAAGAGACAGAGAGAGAGAGAGAGAGAGAAAAGGGGAAAGTGAGAAAGCAAGCCACTAGGTTTGGGACTCGAACTGTGGTCGGCCATATGGGAGTCCAGCACCTTAACCACCACACCACCTGCTGGTCCCAAAAGAATAGTCTTTTGGGGCTGGCCCCATAGTACAGTGGATAAGGGAGACAGATCCCACATGGCAAACGGCAGTTCAAATCCTGGCCCCAGGAGCCTGAAAACATGCCAGGTGCATGTACACACATACCCAAAATCCCAACGGGATGGGGAAATGAATGAAACTGCAGCATGACCACACTCCATTGGGGGATGCTTTCTCTCGCTCGCTCTCTCTCTCTGTCTCTGTCTCTCTCGCTCAGATAAAAAGTGTATGCAACTCTTGGCAACATAAAAAGTATAAAAAATTGGGAACCAGCAGTTAGTGTAATGGCTATGTCGCTGGACTCCCACGTAGTCGACCGCGGTTCGCGGCCCGGACCCAGTGGCTTAAACTCACGCCGGGCACGTGTGCGTGCGTGCCCAAGATCCCGAGAGGAGAATGGAGGAGAAGGGACTGCGGTGTGGCCATCCCCCTTGGGGGGGGATTTCTCTTTCTATCTCTCTGTCTCTCTCTGTCTGGCGAGCGCACGCGCCATATAGCAAAAACCTCTCCAAAAATAAAAAAATTATATATAAAAAATTATGATCCCATTTTTGTTTTAAACCAACAGGCCCAACCATGGCAGGACACACTGGAACTGCAGCTTGGCAGGCTGGGACCACACCAGCCAGTGGGAAGCCTGGTTCAGTTCCCCGCCTACCCAAGAAGATAGCAAGGGGGCGTATGACTG